GTTTTTTTATGTTATTTTATTATTATTATTATGATTTGGAATTATGCTACCAAAAAATTGTGAAAAAGTTGTATTTAAACTGATATATTCATCATTTGTAAATTTACCCTGACTTTTCGTAGTATTTTTACAAAATGATATTGTGACTTTCATTTTGACACATTTTGTAAATTTACTACGAAAATTCAGTGTAAATTTACAAATGACTTACAACACAGTGTTCGTCGGAACATAGCGCCATCTATTGAAATAATCTTAATCTACTTAGACGAACTTTTTTGTGTGTCTATGAATATAGAATGTCACACTGTACTATGGAGCGCTATGGAGAGAAACATATTCTTATAAAATAAACAAAATATTAACAAAAGTAAATTTAAATTCCTTTTATTTCACAACAACAACGACGAAACATATTTAAGACTTGTTGTCTGTTTTCAAACACTGTTTTGCAATGATGACTTCGTTCTACGTCTATCAAAATTTCCCATTCAAAAAACCTTTTAAATTGTGCAAAGTAAAGAATATTTCATTTTTTACATCCTGTGTTTTAAAATCTGTGTGTTTATTCAGTCAGATTGAGTCAGATACATCGAGTTATTGACACATCGGCGAGCACCTGTGTTTAATAAGCAATGCAAATGGCTTACAATGTGCGAGACTTAATAAAAAAAATTGCGCATTCTCATTGTCTGTTTCCACGTTCAGCGGTTTTAACGTAAAATGGTAAGATGTGATTGAAATCAATGCCATTTATAACCACGAGTTAAGTTTTTCTCTTTAATTTTTGTAGAAATTTTGGGTATTTTTGGGTATATTTTTGTTTGCCGACGCAATAAGTGGATATAAAATACTTTTTATTTTTCCACTGAATGCACAAAATCACTGGCAATTTTCGCAACGTATAATAAAGACACTTTTAAATCGGCATCATGAGGTGACGTGTATAACCTCTTTACCTTGGCCTGAATCGATGCCTATCAATTATACAGAAGTTTTGGTTGAACTGCCTTTGAATTTAAGCCAAATTCTTCATCAAAAGAAAATTGGTCAAGCTCAATCTGCCTTATCTAATATTCTTTTGTTCACAAAACTTGGTAAAATCCGGGCTGAACATATTTTGAACAGTCCAAATGTTCATCATTTTCTGCATCGTAACGACTTAAGCTTTGATATTGTGATAAATGAAGAATTTTACGTGGAAAGCCTATCGATGTTTGCATACCAATTCAATGCACCGTTGATCACAATCAGTAAGTCAATTTTTGAGAAATAAAAGCAAAGCGTTTTATTTTAATAAATATTCATTCACATAGGTTCGCATGGTTACTTTGATTTCTTCGATCGTCAATCTGGTTTGTTAACGCCTTGGAGTCATGTCTCCCATCCAGTAAGATAAATTTGTTTTCATTTTATCACAAGAAAAAACAATTGATTTTTTTTTTCTTTGCAGCTATTGGGCTATTCCGACAATATGTCCTTTTTTCAACGATTACAAAACACCTTCGTATCATTTTCTGACTTGTTAATTCGCAATTGGATTCATCTACCCAATCAAATGAAATTGGCCAGAAAACATTTCAGTCATTTGGGTGAACTACCTACAATGGACAAGCTAGTGAAAAGTGTGTCCGTGATTTTAATAAATATGAATCGATTCTATTTGCCACCAAGACCATCTATGCCGGGTAATCTCAATTTTTTATCTCTTTTTTATTAGTTTGGAGTGGAATTTTCTATCAAACAAACATGACGTGTTCAAAAATTTTTTTTAGGTATTGTATACATTGGTGGTGCTCATATTGAAGAACAAAAACCATTGCCAGTTAATTTGGAAAAATTTATGGATGGCGCAGAAGATGGGGTAATTTTCGTCAATTTTGGAACATTTGAAATGCCAACTGAGCAAATGGATATATTCTTGGATGTTTTGGGGCATTTAAAGCAAAGAATTCTCTGGAACTACCACGTTGAATCAATTCCAAATATTCCATCAAACGTTATGATTCATAAATTGTTACCGCAAAATGACATTTTGGCACATCCACGCACAATTTTATTTATAAACCATGGTAAATTTTACATTTTGATAAAAATTAATGCTACAAATGATAAAAAAATCTCTTTAACCTGAAGGTGACATGTCACACAAATACGAATCAATTCAGTACGGCGTGCCGATGCTTATAATTTCATTGTTTGGCGATGAATTTGGAAATGCAAAACTTGCTGAACGCGCTGGATATGCCAAACAATTGCATTATAATGAACTTAACAGTGATTCATTGATGAGCTGTATTGAAGAAATGACGTTAAACAAATCGTATTCGAACGAAGCCAAATATATGTCGAGCATTTTCAACGATAATTTAGTATCTGGTATGACTGAGGCTATATGGTGGATAGAACATGTGGCCAAATTTCAAGGAGCAAAACATCTTAAATCACACGCCATCAATATGTCTTTGTTTTCATACTTATTACTCGACCAATTTTGTGTGTTTATTCTGTGGTCAGTAGTAGCAGCAATTCTGATGTATTTTCTTATCAAATTTGTTATAAAAGTCATTAGCGAAAGAAAAAGACAAAAACGTTTGAAACTCTATTAATTTTGAATTCATACCAAACTATCTTTCGGGCATATAAACAATAATTTTTAACACATTTTCGAAATCATCAACTTCTATAACTACGAATACCTATTAAGTATTTTATCAAGACAATAAAATCGAGTAATAGAATCATCATTTATTATTTTTATTTATAAAAAAGTATAATTGCACCATGTTATCGCTTACTTCTTTATCGAGGTAGTTATATATTGTCAAGTGCATTGTTTATTGTTCCATAGCTTGATTAGAGACAAATTAGTTAACAAAGCAATATCACACAGTATGTAAATGAATTTTGGAAATAAATTCATTTTTTTGTAAAAAATAAAGTCACTTTTTCGACTTATTTAAAATAACTTCTGGCCATGTGTTTTTTTAATACGTAAATTTTCATAACAGATGAGTAAAAAATTGCGAAATTTTTTTATATGAAGAGGTCTAGCATCAGTCGTCAAGCTCATTGTTTCGTCTCAAATCAGTCTGGTTGAATCGTCATTGTTTTGTTATTATTATTCTCATCTTTTCTGATAACCGTTGAAAATAAACTAAACTATTTACCCAGCTTAAAAAATATTCGAAAGACACTCAATCCAAAATCGTTTCCCTCAAAAATTAAATCATCATTTTGAAAAATAAAAATTTATTGTCTGGAATGCAAAAAAAAAAAGAAAAACCCAATTTTTAAAAAAAATTGAATCAAATTATTACTCAAATTGAGTGTATTTGGATGGTAATACTCTTTCCTTTGAGTTGTGAATGGCGTTTCCCTTGCCAGATAATTATGACAATAAATGATTTTATATAATCTAATCTTGTTGTTTTTGTCAAGATTTTTTCAAGGATCTTATTCTGAGATTCATTCAAAAACGTTATTTCAGTTTTATTTAGATATTACCCCAGAACAGTTTCTGATAAGCACAGAAGAAAAGATTTAGTTCATAAAAATGGTGCATACAATGAAAAGTGATTCAGTATTACCAAGTATAAAAAATCAATTATATGCGGCCATAATAGGTGTTTATTTTAAGTTCAAATAGAAATGTCTAGACTATTTTAACTATTTCAAACCGTTATTATTTAGCAAATTTAGTTGTTTTAACTTATGGATGCGTTATGGAATGGTTGTCACCAGCCCTAACGATTTGACATCAAATGATACGCCCCTTAAGACAGGTATGAAAAGATTATCTCGATTGGGGTGTAGTTTTTGAAGATAAGCTTTATTTTTTGCTCCAATATAGGTCCAATATCCAATTCAGAACTATCAGGGATTGGCGCTATGAATAGTGTTGGTGCAATAGCAAGTACATTCATAACTGGAATATTTTCAGCATTTTGGGGCTCAAAGCGAGCAATGACACTTTTGGCCTACCCAGCAATTGCATTTTGGCTATTGATTTATTTTGGCGACTCATTTTATCACATTTTATTAGCAAGATTTGCAACCGGCTTGACTGGTGTGTGATATTAAAGAATGAACAATTAAGTGATTTCTTAATATTCATCTAACTATAACAATGGTTATTGTTCACAACGATATTTTTCATGAATAGGTGGATTACTGCAGAGCGGAATTGTCCTTTTTATCGCCGAAATTTCGGACGACAAGTAAAAGAAATATGTTTTCTCTACCGACTGATGGATAAATTATAATTTCTTGCCTGGAATTTCATTTCCTTTATTCCAATTACACAATGCAATTCATTCATACTCATATTAGACGGGAGTCATGATTCGATAAAGACTACATTATTATACAGTACTACCAGTTTGGTACTATCAGTTAATTTATTAAGCATACTATTCTATATTATAATAAAAAATACAGTTTGAAATGCTCTTAAATGTGTACTAACATTGAAGATTATGAACCCGATGTTTTCAAAATTACACTGATATAAAAAAACGTATCGTTCCACTAAATCATAAAAAATAATTAGCAAAAAATTCAAAATAAAAAGAGAAAGATTTTACTTTAAAAGTTATACAAACATAATTGTCTGAATATATTCAGTTAGTTAATAGTTAGTCATGTAAATAAATTTCATCTTATTAAAAACTTGCAAGCATACCAATTGTTGATTTTACTTTTCAGACGTAATGCCTTGTAAAGTGCACACACATTTATTTGTGTTTTTATCGTTGCTGATGTCAATGTCATTGTCAAGAGATTTTCCACTTGTCTCTTTCAAAACGAGGTGGACAAAAATGGATGCTGTCACGCAACAAATTCCATAGATCAACATAGTTCCGTATAAATCAAGAGATTCCAATAAAATTGGAAACAATTTCATTGAAATAAATCCAGAACCGCTGAGTACACAACTAATTATTGACATGCCGAAGGTGCGAATCTAAAGAAACAAAAACAAAATCTAAACTGAATGAAAAATGTGAGGTAATTATTTTTTAATGCTATCAAACCTTCGATGGAATATACTCAACACTGCAAACAACTGTTAGAGGAATAATTCCAGCTGACGAAATGAATAAAACAAAGGATAGACTAAATACCGGAACCCATGCAAATGCTGATAAGTCATAGCCATTCACATAGAGATAACGATAGAATGCAACCGCAAGTTGACCTATCGCTGAACCCATCAACGAGATGAAATTCAAGCGTTTTCGTCCAAGCGAATCGGCTAGATATGTTGCGGTTAATGGTCCACAAATGAGCGCCACTGCCAATAGTATCGACGACACGTGAGGATCAATCGTGGTTCCAGAATTTTGGAAAATCGTCACGCTATAGTTGATTATCGTATATCCAGCTGTCATTTGTGAAAATATTGACAAAGCAATACTTATACCAAGACCTTTCATTGCTACTCGATTACCTTCGATTTCAAATAAATATGAACGCTGAAGAACACTTAATGTTCAATTATAATGAGAAAAGAAGCTATTTACAAATATCCGACATCTTCATTTTTTCGTCTGATTTTTGTTCGTTTGCTATCACTTTCAATCTCTCGAGTTCCTTGTACATTTCTTGTTCATTTTTTCCTTTGTACCCTTTGTAAAATCTTAATGCATTTTCTGCTCGCTACAATACAATAAAATTTTCTATTTGTATACAAATTGGCATGGGGTCAATCACGAAATTCTAGTGCAGCTAGTTTTTGATCAGATTTCACTAAAAAAACTAGAAATTCTAGTGCGTGAAGTAGTTTTTCCTGTAAATTATATGGCCTTTGGTGTGAAGTTGGCTTCGTTTGTGACGTCATTCTTCGCACTAGATTTACTAGTTTTTCTAGTATTCACTAGCGTGATTCTCCCCATGCAAATTGGTGTGCTTTCAACCATGCACGGTTGAAAAGCGTGACAATAAATGTCTCACCTTGGGCTGACCTTTGCGAAGATAATATCGCGGTGTATTTGGTAAAATTGCGAAAACAACAGCAAATGTGATTGGAAATAAGACACATATACATGGAATATATTGATAATCTAATTTTGCTCCCAAGGTATAGCCAATCAGAATTCCAAAATTGCGCAAAACGTGAGAGATACCGCCGCAACGCCCTCGGATACTTGAACGTAAAAAATATAAAAATATTCAATTTTGTGTTTTTTTTTTCAGTAGGGGAAAAACAGCATTTTACTTATCGTTCGCAATTTCCGACACAAATAAGATTACGATCGATTGAATTCCACCCCCAGTCCAACCTCCGCAAAACCTTGCCAACAGAATGTGATAATATGTGCGACCAAAGAAGATCAATGTCCAAAATATGATTGAAGGGATGGCGAGAAAAATCATTGCGCGTTTACAACCCAAAAAAGATGTGATATAACCAAATGAAAATGCACCACACAACGCTCCAATATTGGAAATAGAGCCAATCCATGAAATTTGTTCGTTTGTTAGTCTTCCAGAAGACAACGGTGTATTTTCTGACGATAACTGTGGCATAGCCGGGCTATTCCAACCGAGAACCGAACCGTGATTCAAAAAAATTAAATTGGCTAGATAAAATGAAACAAAATTATATTGATGTTGTCAACTGAACGATGAAACTTTAAATTTAAATGCAAAAATTACCTGCAATGTATGCTATGTATTGATTCCTCACATTCGTCCATTGAAAATTCTCTTCTTTTATTTCCATTGTAAGAAAAATTGAAATTTTTCCTTGGCACTCTCTGTTTTCCAACTAACTCATGTTTTTGTTTCATCACATCATCTAAGCATCTTAATTCAACTGAGAGATAACGTAAATTTTATTTCTTAATTGGCCTTATTCACAACATTCATACGTAATTATGATGTTGATAAGAATGATAATTCAAATCTAGTTTTTTACTTTTCCGCACACATAGTGTAAGGTGAAAAGTATTGTAATCGGTCAAAATTTTGAAAATTTCAGAAACATGTTTTCTACCTATTATTGAGGTCAGAGAACACGAATTTGGCGTTTTTAAACCTGGTTTTTCTTAATCTGTACGTCGTACGCAAAATTTGTTAGCAAGATTGCGCTCATCGTAGAAACTTAATTCAAAATCTGACTTTACAGGATGATTGGGGGTCGCGAGGAATAGAAATCATTAGCTTTTGAGCGACTTTGGTTGATGAAAAAAATGCCATGCTTGGAGTGATACCTATGAGAAAGAGTCCAATTTTCGTCCAAAAGTCATACTAAATGTAGACTTGAACACTCAAAAATATGAATTGGGGGGTTTTTGGCACTAGAAAACCGAATCCGAGGTTAGTTTCGAGATACAATCAATTTTTGATACAGTTTCCTTGAAAAAATAACAAAAAAATTGAATTTTTGTATGGGAGCCATGCCTGTATGCTACCTTAATGACGTGAAACTTTGCACAGACTATTTTTTACACAAAAAAAAGCACTCTGAAAGTTTGAAGAGATTTCATTCAGAATTAGGGGTACTTACCATACAACATTTTCAATTTTTGGCTCAAAAACGAATATTTTGTATGAGAGATACCCTTAATTTTGGTTGAAATTTCTACAAACCCTCCGAATGTTATTTTTTTGGCCTCAAACTTAACGCCGCTTGAGAAGCTTGAAAAATCGAAGAAATATTATTTTGAACTAGCTCAATAAAATACGCATCTACCACCGTGCGGAAAAGTTCGTCTTACTCCCGTAAGACTCTTTATTTCTTGTTGTGAATACTTAGACTTCAAACAAATATAATTTTGCAAAAATAAATCTCATTTTGATCTATTCTTACCTGTCAACTTATTTTGTTTTCTATTCTCTTTCATAACAAGCAGTGCAAATGAGCATTTGCGTGGCGGATTAGATATTGTTACTCGTCACGACTATGTTCACTTTTACAAAAGAATTGAATTAAGTATCAATCAAATTAATACAAAATTCATCATTGAACTTTTTTTTGGAAGGATGTTCAATCAGTAATAACGCATGAGTTTAATTATAACAAATTAATTTTGTGTTTTGAAAACAAATAAACAAGTAAGAATAGCTACTGAATTGTGAGCAATGTATTGTAAATATTTGCGATTGAAACCGTCTTTTTTTTAAGTAGACGTCAGCGCCATCTTTTGAATTTTGTTCCAATTGATTCGTCTTTCGACCAGTTTGCCTTTGACATTTATAGCACTTTTGACACAATGCATTGTGTTGTCGATGACACTTTAAATATATGATAACAAATGTGACTGAAACTGACAAAACAATAATATTTGTAGTAAAATATGTGCATTTTCCTTCATATCCATCGAGAATAAAAGTGTAAATTGTTGTGTTATTGTTTCAATTCATGATAAAATGAGCGGAACTCCAGTTGAAATTCATTGGTTTCCACGGCATTCAAATCGTTTTGTGACGTGGGGTTCTGAAATAAATTTGTACCAAGTTAAAAATACGGACGATGTTGACCATCGTGTATCAACAAGTGCGTCGCAATTTGTGGTTTTCATTGTTCTAATGGGGTAAAAATGTAATGAAACATGTTATTCTTTTGATTTTTAGACATAAATTTGGATATATCTCTGGCGACAACAGCAACGCTATTGGCATCAGAGACAAGATATCAATACATTCGGTGTGTTGCACCATCATTTCGAAGTTCGGGTGATTTATTATTGGCAGTCGGTTTGGCAAATGGGAAAGTTGGACTGTCTAATTTTGTCTCATCAAATGAGAACAACATTGAATTCAGTAAGTTTTAAATGAATTGTATCGTTCTCTTTTATAAATCAAAATCTAATCGTTTTCATTTATTCTATTTACAGCTCCAAAACAGTCACGACCAACTGTCTGTTTGTCGTGGCATGAAAGCGAAACAAATCTTCTGGCAATTGGTCATGATAGAAATCGATCTGATCATTGCATAACAGTTTGGGACACCGAACGTGGTGTTCCAAAAGAAAAATCAGTTTTACATTTTATTGGATTGTCGGATACAGCGCATTCTCTTTGCTGGGATAAAACGGGTCGCATTTTATTTGCTGGAATGAGCCATAAATACATGAAAATGATGGATTTGAGACAAAACTCACCCACAGTTAACGTATGTAATACACGGGCCCTACATGGTTTGACGATTTCCGCAAATGGTCGCCTGCTAGCCGGTTTCGTCGATAATTCAATCAGGTACTACATTTTTTGGTTCATTATTAGATTTTTGGTCGATTGACGTATGTATTTTTTTCGATCAGCTTATGGGACATTCGAAGAATTGAAAAGCCAATTTCAGTTGCAAACACTGAAAAAAATATCAGCGATATAAGTTGGTGTCCATCACGTAATTCCACATTAGCAACACTTCAACGTGATTCACCATTCGTTCATTTGTTTGATTTTCATTGTTCATCGCCCAATGAAAGTGTGACTGATGTTGTAACGCATTCAATTAAACGAATCGTTTCACCGTTCCAAAAGAAAATTAGTGCTGCACCAAGAAATATTACCCTTAGCAATATATCATGGCATCCATATCAGGAACGTTTGCTTGCACTATCTGGCTCGGGAATTATTTGTGATTTTAAAATACCTCAGCGCATTGCTATATCAATTGATGCACTGAACAATTTATGCGGAGCCATTGGATCACAGTTGAACTGCTTGAATACACCGTCACCACCATCGACTCCATGTGAATCGGCCAATCCATGGGTCGAAAACTCAAACAGCACCGATCATATATCGTCTGCTGGATTTCCCGAAGATATTGTCGAAGTCATGCATCGCAGAGCATGCAATGATTATGGATTGATTCAGTCTGATATTCAAAAAAATGGTGATTTGGCAAATAGTGAAGCCTTGAAGTCGGTATGGGAAATGTTAGCGCGGATTAAACAAGAGGATTGTGGTCTTGGGTTGAAAGACATTATTGGCATAAGCGAAACAGTTCTATTATCTTGGCAAGACTTCCCCAATGGACTACCGATGAAAGGATATAAGTACGAACATATTTATTTCAATCTTGATGAGTTTTTTTAAATATTGAACTCTTTTTCAAATGATTTGTGTAATTGATTCAATTAGGAGCGACCAACGTGATTTCTGTCGACATTTAAGCGGGTGGACATTCGATCGCAGTACCAAAGATAGTTTTCTTCAGTTCATCGATGGACTGTGCGCTAAACAGGAATATACCCGTGCTGCGATGATTGCAGTTTTTCAACTGAAAATTCGACTTGCAATCGATATATTGAGCAAAGGAGCCGATAATACATTGGAATCGAGTAATTTGCGAATGGCAGCGATCGCATTGGCTGGATTCAGTTTTGAAAAGAGTGCAATTTGGAGATCTCAGTGTGCCACAGCACAAACTCAAATTAGTTGCCCTCATTTAAGGGCATTATTTGCATTTTTAACGCCAGAAAATGGATCGTACGAAAAAGTGTTGGTAAGCAGTACAGATTTCTTCAATTTTAAGAATTTTTTTCATTCAAATAATGTTTCTCTCTCTATCTCTTCCTTCCAGAATGAAAATCGTTTGTCAATCGCTGATCGCATGGCATTTGCATGTCAATATTTATCGGACAGTAAATTATCCGACTATATAAAAACAATGATACAAACATGTATAAAAACACGCGATTTGCATGGACTTTTACTAACTGGGGCAACGCCGGAAGGCATCAAATTGCTTCAAAGCTATTTAGATGGAACCGATGATGTCCAAACGGTTGCATTGATTTGCATAAAATTTTTGCCAAAAGATTTGCTCGAAACTTATGATGTGCAATATTGGATTCAGTCGTACCGCGAACTACTTGACATATGGCGTCTATTCGAGACACGCGCACATTTTGATATCATGCTAAGTCAAATGAATACTTCACCAAAACATTCAAAGTCTGTGTATCTATCTTGTTCATTTTGCGGGAAAAATGTTTCGGCTTCTATGTATGATGAGACAAGAGTCCGCTCACCATCGTCAAATATTAATAAGTTGTCCTCATGCCCAAGTTGCCGTAAGCCGCTACCACGCTGCAGCATCTGTCTTTTACATATGGGAACAACGAACGGCGCATCATTTCAGAATAAATCGGGTTCGGGGTGGCTCAGTAAGCCCTTTAGCAAATGGTTTGCTTGGTGCCAGTCGTGCAGTCACGGTCAGTTCCTTGTACAACATGACATCTCCTTGTTCATTTTTTCCTTTGTATCCTTTGTAAAACATTAATGCATTTTCTGCTCGCTACAATGGAATAAAATTTTCTATTTGTATACAAATAGGAGGTCATTCCGAACACCTTACATCTTGGTTCAGCACACATGCTGAATGCCCAGTGGCTTCATGTTCGTGCAAATGCTTTGGACTGGACTTTCCACTTCTGCCACTTAATGGAATCGCTGGCGAAACTACTTACTAGAAGTTACTACACAAATTCATTAATGAAACTTGGTGCTTAATTCATATAGAAAAAAACGATTCTTTTATTGTTGTCACTGTTTCGTTTGATTTCATTCTGTTTTTTTTTTCTTCATCATATGAAATTCAGGACAGAAAATGAATGAATTGTTTTTTTGTAATTTTGTGAGAATTATAAGATGTTTAAATTAAGATCAAATTTTTTGTAGATTTTGCACAATGTTCATGGTACACCATTGGAATCAACTTCATTTTAGTTTTGTGTAATAAAGAAAGATTATCAATAAATATATGTATTAATATTGGGTGTATAAATTAATTTTGATCGTTTTTTTTGTGAAAGGAAACATTTATTTAAAAATAATAAGAATGAGTACATTAACCAATGTACTGCCCATCGTTAGCTATGAATTCGGCTCATCATCTTGGTAGCTTATCGATTCCGCGTCAAAAGAATTCCTCATCTTTTCCAGCTATCCATTGATCGACCCATTTTCGCACTCCTTCAGCATTTCTAAACGATATATCAGACAAGCCCATTTGCATCGATCTAAACAAGTGATAATCAGAAGGAGCAAGGTCTGGAGAGTACGGGGGGTGATCAAGCCGATCCCAACCGAACGCCTCTATCTTTTGTTTGACGATGTTTGAAATATGTCAATTTTTGAGAAATCCTTCGACTATTTCTTGTCGCAGTTTTTTTCAATTTTTCTCTCAGTACTCTGCTCAAACGTATTGGTTGTAGTTGATACCGATCTCCCGTGACAGTTTCACCCGGTTTCAGCAGCTCATTATACACCACACCACTTTAATCCCACCAAATAATGAGCATTACCGAGAAATCATCAAAATCCTGCTATGCTGTCGATTTTGATGATTGTGTGGGATTGAACCCTTATTTTTATGCCTGGGATTATCGTAGCAGATGCCCACTTCACTTCCAGTTACAAAAAGATACAAAAATATCTTTTATTTTTATTTTTGGAACATTGTGCCAAAATGTGAAAAAACGTCTAACAACTAGTTTTGATTCAGCTGGTGTGGCACACAATTTCTTTGGTCTTACCTCATTATAAATGTCTTAAAACGATTGATTCGCATATATTTAATGCTTCTGATGTTTTCTGATGTATTTTCATGCATCTTTATCGAATAAAAAACGCCAATAGCCCATCATTCAATTTTTTTTGGTGAGTTCACAGTTTTTCAACAAATTCACCACTTCTTTTTCACCAAATTCAACATTCTCTATGGCGATTGAGAGGTCTCGTCTCCTGCAACATTTTATAAGCTTTAGATGTATTTTCACTTTATTTAAAGTGAAAAAATTTAACCAAAGGAGGGCCAGACAGAAAAACGCTTTTTCATCACTCATTTTGAATCGATCAGAAAATAATGACACTGAGTCAAAAATAAATGTTTCTGCTCTGAATTAGATTGGCAAATGTCACATGTACAAAATGCAATTGGATTCACCTGTCAAGCTACACACAATTTTAAGTGGCGACATCTAATTGTCAGCGATCAAAATTAATTTATACACCCATATTGCAATTGCATTTGTTTCAACATTTTTCTACGATTGTAGTGACAATAAAAGTTAAATCTGTATTATACTGCTATTTTTGCCGTTGTCGAATTCTTTTAAATACAAAATTAATGGTTCATTTCAATAGACAGACCATTGCCAAAACTTTTAATTAGTTCAAAATGGGGAAGAAATTGTAACAATAAAAAAAGATCACAGAGAAAACTTACCAATGAATTTGTTCATTTCAAATTTTTTCAATCGAATTCTTTTAATATAAAATGAAATCAATTTATATTTTGAAATGCATACAAAAATGATGTTTTCTTAATGAAAATTGTTCATTTTGCATGAACTTATTAAATGATTTTCTTAAAAAAAAAATATTAAAGCGCATTGGCGCATCAAAGAGCAGACGAAAGAAAGATGATGGGGGGACCTGATGTCAAACAATGAAAAAAGATTCATAACATACAACACCATCTCTTGGTATGCCACATATCTGTTTTTTTTCTCCACAATGTGGAGAAAGTGTTTACGTATACGTATACGTTGACATTAATAATCTGTCAAAACCGTAAACACATTATTTTCATAACGCAATTTTGCGAGAGTTCCTAT